GTGCCACTGGGATTCCAGGGCAGCAGAAAGGGTAGGACGCATTTAAGACTTTATTTCCCTCTTTTCTCCCTGAGCTGTGCATTTCCTCATTTCCCCTTCCCTTGTAAATAAACCTTTATTAACCTTGTATGCGCCTGCAGTGGAGTATTAATAAGTCCTTTTTAAGCGCGTGGGTTGAGGACCCACAATCAGGCACCCCGTTATATATCGGGGCTGCCCTGTAACAAAATGAAGACGGGATATCACCAAGGAACCGCAGTGTGGAAACAGGGGGCATCGGCTGAGCCACGGGGAGGCCACTTAGCTCTTGCTAGGGCACAAGGAAAGTCTCCGGGAGGACGGGAGCAAAGCTGTCGGCAGGTAGGGTGGTTTCAAGGTGCAGGGGCGATGTTTCCAGCACTAGCATCAGTGCATTCAGGAAACTACCCTGGCCCTGCCAGGCCGCATCTGGCAAGTCAGCTGTGAAGACAGGTTAGGGGCTCGAAGCCCAGCTTGGGAAAGTCTTGAACCTCAGGCCTGGGGAATCACGGACAGGAGCCAGCCTTGCAGAGTCCATCTGAGTTTTAGAAAGAAACTCTGGAGCAGGTGCCAGAACCGAGAAGGGGCTGGAGAGCATCCCCAGGAAAGGGTACTCTTCCTGCAGCCCTAATACTTTGTAGAATGGAAAAATAGGACAAATAAACCACAATTACTTGCTATGTTCTCCTGTCTGTTCCCATACTCCAGTGGATGGTCCTTCTTGCCTCCTGGGGTGCATGAACCCCTCCCCCTCACTTAGGGGACAGTGAAGATAATTCCTGCAGAACCCAGAGCCCCCGCTACCCGCCCCCGGCCCCAGACACCATCACGGATTGACTCTCCCAGCCGCTCCTGATGTGCCCAATTAGATGGATCGCAGGCCAAGGTCACAAGTTTGATCTGCCTTTGGGTCAATTGAGTCTGGAAGGAAAAGTCCATTTTCACCACCACACACTGCCCTCCAGTCTGTTATCTGTCAATGACTCTTGGTCACATGGCAGACAGACGGAGTCCAGATGGAAACCCCCCCGGGCCCGGCTCTCACAGGGAATCCTTTGTGCCCACTTTGTGTGCAAAACCCATGGGTGTGAGCAGTGAGAGCAGGCAAGGGGAGGGCAGTCCCTCCCTGCTCCCAGCTGGATAATCCACCCTGGGTGGGGCTGGGGTGGAAGGAGACTCAGCTGGGCACGGGGGCAGAAGCCCACCCATCCTGATCATCCTCCCCGCTGGGTGCTCATGGAGCCCATAGCACTGCCCTTGGTCTCGCTTGACCTTGAACTCCATCCCTGGGCCACGACATCCATGTAGATGAACAGCTGCAGACACGTAAGCCATTCCCCACTGTCTTGTCTGCTCAGGCCACTATAATAAATTACCAGGCCAGGGCCCTTGAACAGCAGACATTTCTCGCGGCTCTGGAGGTTGGAGTTCAAGGTCAAGGTGCAGCCCACGGGTATCTGGCAAGGGCTCTCCTCCTTGCTTGTCCTCAAGTGGCAGAAAGAGGGATAAGGACACTGATCTCATCATGGGGACCCCGTTCTCATGACCTCACCTTATCTGAGCAGCTCCCCAAGACCCTCCCCAATTAGGACTTCCACACATGAGGGGGGCATGGGGGTTACACAAACATTCTTCTCCCTCTTTCATGACCTCACCTTATCTGAGCAGCTCCCCAAGACCCTCCCCAACTACTGTTACATTAGGACTTCCACACATGAGGGGGGCATGGGGGTTACACAAACATTCTTCTCCCTCTTTCTACCTGAAATGACTTCCATGTGTCTCAGACCAGTTGGGGCCACCTTCAGTCTCCCCCTCTCGGGAAGGCCACCGATACCCGGAGGCGTCAGCCACAGTGGGGTGTAACCTGGACGTCTCCTGGCTGCATCCTCTTTGGCAGGGAGACGTCTGTCACCTCATCCTAAGTGAGACCCTCTTGTTCTCTGTCCTCACACCACTGGGCCCATGAAAATGTTTTTAAACATTTTTTTATTTTCATTTTAAAGATTTATTATTTATGCATACAAGAGCTGGGGTACAGGCCAGAAGCATAGGGGTTGAGAGGATTCACCAGAGACAGAGTGGGGAACAGAACAGGCAGATTGACTGAAGTACACTGCTGAGGGGAGCAGCGGGCGAGTCAGGAGAGGTCTGCTGTGCCATGTGGGTTTCTCCCTGGCCAGCAGGGGATTGAACTCATGCTGCAGAGGCTGTGGACAGCTACATAGGTTGTGTCTTAACCCCTTGTGCCACCAGGGAGGCCCTAAACATTTTAAAACCAAAAGAAAATGTATAAACAATTCGGTCCAAGGTTTTTTGTTGTAGCATTAACACATTCCTCTTTATGCTAACATAGTCGTAAATACAATTTTAATGATATTATGGAGGAAGGGGTCTGTGAAAGTCGGCAGCACCCTGTCCATCTTATCTACAGCCTTGTGTACCCTCAGGCCCTCCAGTGCCTCTCCGAGTGCTTAGCACATAGTAGGTGCTCAATAAATATCTAATGACTCAATGGATCTGTGCCTCCGATTTCTGTATCAGAGACTACATCATGGGGCCCTGGCGGCTGGTTTGGCTGGTGGGGGAGGAACTTTGGCTGCCAGAAATGATACCAAAGCAGCATCCTCTTCCAAGTCAGCCGGGGGATGACACACCCTCTCGCTGCCCTGGATCCCCATGCAGTTCTGCTTCTGACTCCAGGATGAGAAACTAGAAAGCTGCCTCTGTGTTGCTACTTACCCTCTGGTAACAGGTCACTGGCTAAAAGAAGTGCCAGTTCTCTCCACGAAGTTGGTCATTTAAGATGTAAGTATAGTATCTCCCCTTACGGGACGTCCTCAGCCTTTTCTCCATTTGAATAAAAAACACATGATCTGAGACACTTTTGTCTTAACTTGGGGGAAAAAAAAAAAAACTGTCTCACACTCTTCTAAGAGCAGTGGATTTCAGCCCTGATGGGACATCTGGCTGTGTCTGGGGACATCGTGGATAAATAACTAGTGGGGCGCGCTGCTGGCATCTCCTGGGTGGAGGCCGGGGTGGCTGCCAGAGTTCTACAAAGCCCAGGATGCCTCCTAGTATCAAAGGCAGCACAGGCCCAGCTGCCAATAGTGCTGGCTGAGGCTGATAAACCTTGCTCTGAAAGTGTCTCGATTGTATCTCACGGATGAATGATCTGGAACACTTGGGTCTCGCTCTCCCTAGAGTGGGTTTTATTGATCTGTGCCTTGGCATCCAGTGCTCCATTAAGACAGAGCAGAACCACTGGATGGGGTTTGCAGGCCTGTATCTGGGAAAAGACTGTTGTTTAGGGTGGAACTCCCAGCGCTGCTCCCTTCCAAGGCTCACAGGGGTCTCCTGCAGACCTCAATGTCAGAAATAGCTGAGCTGGGGGCCTGGTGGTGCAAGGGGTTAAGTCTCCGCACTGTGAAGTATCCACAGCCACTGCAGCATGAGTTCAACCCCGGTCAGGGAGCTACCCATATGGCGCAGCAGACCTCTCCTGTCTCCCCGCTGCTCCCCTCAGCAGCGTATTTCAGTAGATCCGCCTGTTCTGCTCCCCACTCTGTCTCAGGAGGATCCTCTCACCCCACCCCATCCCCTACACTTCTGGCCTGCACATAAATAAATAAATCTTAAAAAAAAAAAAACAGCTGAGTTGCTTCCGGGACACTTTCGGCCTGGCAGACCTCTGTGACAGGTGAATTTCCCTCCTCACTGTGACTGATGGGGACTCGGAGTCAGGTTTGCAGCCCACCCTGGAGATTGCAGAGACCTCTTCCCACACGTCCCCCCAGAACAGCTCTTGGTGCAGCATACTTTTTGTCCCAACCTTGTTTTCTCTGGGATCTATTTTTGTCCTATTGTGTTTTGTGTACTCCAGTAAGTTGCCTCCAGTCCCTTCTGGAACAAAGCAGGGCATAAAAGAAAAACAAGAATCGGCCGAGCCCTGTGCCGTGGCTGGTATATCCGCCCTCAGTGCTGTTTGAGGGCTGGCGGCCTGCAGGGGAAACGGCTATTCGGGGCTTCTCTGACCCCTCCTGGAGACTCGGTCTCGGGGACCAGCAGCCCGTGGGTTAGAGCAACAGGTTTTAGAGGCAAAGCCACCAACATCCATCTGCCCGCAGATTCCTCTCCCTCCCGCGCTGCGTTCTTTCCAGCCTCCCATCTGGCGGTTGGCGGGAAGCCACAGGGACGAGGGGAGATTGCAAAGAGGAAGTAGCTAGACAGGTTCTCTGTTTTTCACTCTCACCGAGATTATTTCTGCATCATAAATTGAGGCCTTCGGGGTCCAGGGATTGTGTGCAGGCTGCCGGTGAGGGCCGGGCCAGAAAGGGCCTCCCCCTGAGAGTGGAGTGAGCTGGGCCCTTCGGGGAGGCTGTGCTGTGAAGCCTGAGGCAAGCCAGGGCAGGTGGGGCGGGTCCAACCCTGCAGGCCGCCCCCTCCTGCCACTGCCTCTTAGTCCCCAGTTCAGCTTGTCCCTCCCTGGCTGCCAGGGTCCAGAACCAGCCCCGTGACTTCCCCGACCGCGACTTACGTGCTTTGGCCTCTGACTTCCGGCTGTCAAATGGTGTCCCGCTGGTGGTGGTGGGATACCAAAGCAGGTGCTAAACTTCGAAGATCCTTAGAACCCCTGCCTTCCGGTGCCCTGACACCCTCTGTTCCCCTGGTGCAGCCCGCTAGGCGGTGGGCATGGAGCTGGTGGTGAGCAGCTGCGGGTCCAGCATCAACTCTAGCAGGCCTGAGGCTGCAGCTTTCAAGGCCAGGGCTCAGCAGAGGCCAGCTTGGCGGACCAGTGATGGGCGGGGCTTGCTCACCCCACGTACTTGAACTTTGCACCACCTGGTGGGCCCGTTGGGTGTTGTGAATCAGCAGCAGCTGCTGCCAGGGGCCTGGAGCTGTGGGTGCCTCTCCTGGAGGCAGCACCCCAGCCCTCCCCCCACTCCCTTGCACCGGCCCCGGCTGTGGGCAGGCCTCTCTCTGGGCTGCTCACCCAGCCGGTCACTGCCCCACTGGGCCAGTCCTTCTCCCCACGTGCAAACCTTCTGGTGGGGACAGTGGTCATGAGGATGGGCTCTGGAGCATGAGCCTGCATCTGTGCCGGCCCCTGCATTTCTTAGCTCTGCAGGGCTGAGCCAACTCCCACATCTTTGAGTTGTCTCCATGTCCTCATCTGTAAAATGGGGGCGACATGAACAGCACCAACCTCAGGATTCTTAGGAGAATTAGACGAGACTGGTACCGAGAACAGCCCCTGGCAGGCAGCAGCCCCGACAGCTACACACAGCCCTTGTCAGGACAGTGCAGGTCTCGCAGTGCCTGAGAGATGTAAGCTGAGCCCCCCATGGGACGCAGGAGGCGGGGAGACACCTGATGGAGGCTGGCCCTGGGCGGGCTGGTGCTGACCCGTCTTTGGGCTGTGAATCCTGTCCATCTGGGGTGGGCAGCTTTGGGGTCCCACCATGTTTGGAAATGTTAGTGGCGATCTGACTTAAAATAATCTGTCACCCAGCAGTAGTTTCTGGCTCTAGCTGTGGGCTCTCAGAGTAGAAGGGCCCTCGGGGGTGACTAAAGGTGAGACCCTAGGTTTCTCAGGTGAGCCTGAGACCAAAAGGGAAAGAGTATAGAACCCCCCAAGCCCAAGCCGCCCAGGGGGCTGGCGTCTGTCTGTGTATGAATCCGGCAGAGGACCTCACCGCAAATGCAGCTCCTGGGGAAAGTGAGCTGGTGCCTGATTCTGAGGCTGGAAACACTGACGCTGCCCAGAATGGAGACTTAAGTGGGGCAAGGTCACACAGCAAACCAAGGTCGGTGCCAGCCCGGCTCAGCTCACCCTGTCCAGTTATCCCATTATGGACCAGCAGGTCCATTCACCTGACGCTGTGGGTCCAGCCAGGTCTCCCCACAGGCTCCTTGTTGCTCCTCAATGGCTGGTGTTTTTCCATCAAGAGTCCTGGACCAGGGGCCTCCCTGGTGGCGCAGGGACAGCGCTGTCCCGCTACCGGCAGCACTGCAGCACGAGTTCGATCCCTGGCCAGGAGGTAACCACATGGCGCAGCGGACCTCTCCTGTCTCCCCGCTGCTCCCCTCAGCAGTGGATTTCAGTCAATTTGCCTGTTCTGTGCCCCACTCTGTCTTTGGTGAATCCTCTCACCCCCCACACCTCTGGCCTGTACCCCAGTTCTTGCATGCACAAATAAATAAATCTTTTTTAAAAAAAGAAGAGTCCCGGACCCGCTGGAATACCAGTTAGTAGTTGTGGCTGCTGGGGTGGTGGTTTATGCTGAGACTGGGAGGCACAGCCCACTCAGGTGCCCTGCATCTGCTGGGCCTCGCTGGCCAGCACCTTCTCTCCTATCCAGCCAGAATGCAGCTCCTAGGGGCCCAGCCCCTGCTGGGCTGTGTGCCCCAGTCTGTCTTTCTGACCTGTTCCTCCAGGGCTCCCCCACCGCCTGCTCATAATTCAGCCCCAGACACACCCCTCCTGAGTCTCATGGGGCGGAGACCTGGATGACATTTTGATTATGTGGCTCATTGCTTCTCAGGAAGAGAAGTGGACAGGCCCACGCTTCTCTGTAGGGGCTCAGGGAGATGGGCAAGGATTCCAGGAACCCGACCCCATGGTACAGAGGTGGGGGGCAGGCTGGTGAGATTTTGTCTCTTGGAGGTGCCCATGGAGGGGAAGTGGGGGTGGGGAGGCTGGAGCTGGGCCAGCTGGGGGAGGGTCCCAAACCCTGATCTCATTTTCCCATGTGCTAATAAAGCTTTGAGGTAACTGGTGATGGTGAGGAAGGAGGGTTTGGAATCACCAGTTCTGATGCCTTTGGAGAAGGTGGTCGGGTGGGTGTCCAGCCATGTGGCTACCTCGGTGGACCATGGGGGGTGGGGGAAGAACACAGCCTGGAAGCTGAGGCTGCAGGACAAAAAAAGGGAGCAGGGAGGTGCCCTTTCTGGCCTGTCACGTTCTGGTGGCGCCAGCTCTGCTGGCCCTGGGGGCTTGGGGAAAGTCTCCCTCTTCTTGATGACCACTTTGGGAGCCAGTCTGCACCCAGCCCTGGAGGAGCAGCAGGAGTCCCACTGTGCGGATGAGAACAGGCTCCAGCAGCTGGGTGACTAAATACAGGGCTCCCCTCCCCGTTGATAAGCAGCCATTAGGTGGCCAAGGTCCTAGAGCCCCCAGGGCCTACCCAGGCAGACGGGCAGGAGGCCTTGTCCTTGCCGGGGCAGGAGAGAGGAGGGCCCCAAAGGGACAGAGAGAAGCTGTCTCTGGACCCCAAGGGCCAAGGGGTAGGATAGTAACCCCAGGGTTCCCAGTCTGTACCCTCACACTTACCCCCATCCTAAAAAAACACTCCCCCAAAGCAGAGGTGTGCTACAGCATTTTTTAATGGTTCCTTGACTTTTTAACAATATCTTGAAAAAAATATACAGTTTAGAATCTGGGACTGGCCACTGTCTGGATGGGTTTCAGGGGCAGCAGATGGGGCTGCCCCGCCCCTCCTCGTCCTCCCCCGTCATGGGGGCTAGGCTACTGGAAGCTACTGGAACTGGAGCACCACAGGGCACTGTGATCAGGAGCTAAGTCAGGGTCTCCGTCAGGATCCAGCAAAGGATGGGGGGGCTGCAGCAGCTGTGCCCACCAGGCTGGGCTGGGCTGGGCTGGAGCTGCCCCCTGCTGGCTACCCAGGGAGGGAGGGGTAGGTTAGTCGTTCCCAGGACAGAAAAATCTGCAGCCCTGGAGCTCACACCCAAGCTTCTACTCAACCCCCTAGGACAGAGAGAAATCTGAATTTCAGAAAGACAAATTTCTTTTCAGCATAAATATGTTCCAAATATAGCAGGGAGTACTCACACACAAAAATTACCCTCTGGATACCTGAAATTCTAATTTCACTGGCATTCTGGTTGTTTTGTTGCTAAGTCTGGCAACCTCTATGCCCTGGGGGCCTGGCCTCAAAAGTGGGGGAGGTGGTTCAAGGAGGCAGAGGCCTGAGAAAGGAAGGGGAAGTAGCAGAACGGGGAGGGAGGAAACACTGGGTCAAAGAAAGAGCTTTCACTCCCCTCCCCCGCCCCTCCCAGAATGATATATTATTTGTTAAAAAATAATTTCCCAGAAATTTCTACAATGGCCACCTCCAGCTGTTAAGAACTGGGGTGGGTGGCGAGGGGGGTGGGCAGACAAACGCACACAGACACCCCATATGGGTCTAAATAAAATGTGGAAGCACTAGCTAACGTTGAGCTGGGACCTCCTCCGCCTGAAGTGTGCTAAGTATTCACTGTGAATCCTCAAGAGGAGACTTAGTATTAAGGTTTCCTAAAACGGTTCCCTCTCCTTCTGGCAGCGGCCTTACTAACGCTGTCCCCGACACTGCTCTAGAAGGATCTATACACAACTGGTGAGAACAAACAGCCCCCGGGCCGAGCTTGCGCCCAGGCCTGCTCCTATTCCTAGCCGTGCCCTGGAAGCGCCCCTTCTGGAAAACGCAGGCCGCGCAGGACCATCAGTTTCCCGTGGGCTTCTCTCCCCCAAAGGGGTGGCGTTGAGCGTGCAGATATGCAGCCTGGTTTATTCCAAGGGCTCCGGGCTGCTGGTGTGGGGCCCAGGCATGGCGGGGCTGTGGCAAGCCCTTTCTCCAGCTCTGCCCCCCGGGGCTGACCTGCTACTGCTGCACGGGGCAGGAACTCAGGTTGGCATCTGGTCACCACGTGAGGTCAGGGTGGAGAAAATGGGCCCGGAAGGGGAAAACGGGTTCCTGCTGTGAGAACACCGCCCCATTACAGAGCTCGGGGACGTCTGGGTGTGCCGTGAGGTCAGACACCCCTCTGGCACCCCTGCCCGCTCCCCAAGTCCTCCGAGGCCCTCCAGCTTGGCCCACGCCCCTCCTGCGTGAGGTCCAGGGTCTGTGGCCCACCGGGCTCTTGGCTGCCCCTGCTGTGCGGGAGGTGGAGGGGGTGATGGGCTGAGCCGGGGAGATGACGCCAAGAGCGTGGGGCGGCCTCTCCCGTGGGCCTCACACTCGAATTTCATCCTCTTCCTCTTCGTCCATGAAGGAGAACTCCTTGTCGGGCTGCCTGGGGAGAGCGGCCCGGGCTCTGTCCGGCCCCCGGAAGGCAGGGCTGCGCTCCTCCAGCACCCCTGAGGTGCAGCTGGAGAGGGAGCTGCTATCCCGCGTGGTGTGGCTGCCCACACTGCGGGCCGAGCTGGGGCTGGGGGCTGCCGCCGCCCACCCCTCGTCCTGCAGGGCCTGGGAGGACAGCGGGGCCAGGTCCGGGCCCGCCCTGCCTTCCTGCCTGGCTAGGGGAGGGACCGATGCTGCAGGGGGCCTCTGGCCCAGACTGCCCACGGGGTCCTCGTCTCCATGGAAACCGCCAGCCTCCTCCTCTTCCTCGGGCTCCCACTCCTCCTTGTCCATGATGCTCAGGACGTCGCCCAGCATGGAGGGCCCCAGGTCGATGTGGAAGGACATGATGGACTCAGCGTGCTTTAGCCCGTAGCCGGCCTTGGGCACGACGGGCAGATCCGTCAGGTCCCCGAAGGCCTGCTCGTCCAGGAGGGGGTCCGGGGAGTGGGGGCTGGTGGCCCCGTTTCGCCGGGGCACCGCCTCGCCCACGCCCTCGTCCTCGGCACCCCCGTCGGCCTTCTTCACGGGGCTGGACGACAGGCTCTTGGGCAGCGGGCTGGAGCCCTTCTCGGAGGCCTCCTTCTCGTTGAGCTGGGGCAGGGACATGGCGTTCTTGACGAACAGGGCCGAGTCCCGCAGGGAGCCCAGCATGTCCCTCTGCTCCCGGTCGCCCCTGGTCACCGACTGTGACCTCTTGCTGCCCCGGAACTTGCGGGACAGGAGGCTGCGTTTGGAGGAGGAAGTGGAGGAGGACGGCTGCTCTTCCAGGGACTCGCCGTCCAGCTCGCCAGCCTTGCTGTTGAGGAAGGAGGTGTCCCCAAAGGCGTCGCCGCCCCGGCCCACGTGCATGGTGTGGCGGAAGTCCCCCAGTGGGGCGCTGATCATCTCCGCCGTGAGGTCCACTCGGGAGCGGCGCTTGGAGGGCACTGAGCTGGACACCAGCTGCTTGAGGATCGGCATCTTGTCTGACAGGAGGGGTGGGGGTGGGTCCCCCCGGGGCAGCTGGCAGGTTGGGGGGTCAAATCGGATGCCCGGCAGGTAGACGGGGTGATAACCAGCAGATCACAGGTCTGTAAGAGAAGAGCAGCAAAGGGTCAGCCAGCACAGAGCCACTCTGCCCAGGGGCCGTCATTTAAACCACAGCAAAAGAGGGGCCTCCTTGGTGGCGGAAGGGGTTAAGTCTCAGCACTGTGAAGCTATCGGCAGCCACTGCAGCGAGTTCGATCAGGGAGCCAGGGAGCCGACCCACATGGCACAGCAGACCTCTCCTGTCTCCCTGCTGCTCCCCTCAGCAGTAGATTTCAGCAGATCCACCTGCTCTGCTCCCCACTCTGTCTCTGGTGAATCCTCTCACCCCTCACACCACTGGCCTGCACCCCAGCTCTGGTATGCATAAATAAATCTTTAAAAAAAAAAAACAACACAGCAAAATAACGTGAAAGCAGCCAGTCATCAATTTCATAACCTGCCTATTTCTCCATCCACAGATATTCAGGTTAGGGGAGTAACTTTTGCTGATCTGGTTCAAGTGGCCCAGACATTCTCCCTGAAACTTGTGAGGAAAAGCAAATGATGTTTCTCAAGGTGCACGGCTTCCACAGCGAGAGCCTGGGCTGTGATTTGGGGGACAGTCAGACACGTCCTGCTGTCTGACCTCAATCCCGGACACGCGCGGGGACACCTCAACTTGAGTCACGGTGTTCAGGAGGGAGAGGACCGGCCAGGCCCCACAGGCACTGCCTGCACCCCAATGTGGGCAGCCCAGCTGGCACTCTGAATCAGAATTGGGGTGGGGCTGCCAGGACCCACAGAACCAGTCCCCAGCCTTCTGTCCTCCTTGGCTGTCCCATAAATGAGGACCGGCCTGCGCCACCACCCGGGTCCCTCGCTCGTGGCTGAGGAGGATGCAGTCTCTGCTTCCCAGACACCAAGACAGGGACTCTCTCTTAGTTTCTTTAGCTGTTAGCAGTGGAGGGAAGCAGAGACTAGGCCCTAAGTGACCCAGGACTCCTCTCCGAGAGCCCGCAGGCCCCGGGGGTGATTAACCAGAACCAAAAACCAGCAGAGGGGGAGCCCAGTGGAGCTTGGGCCAGGCCGTCTGCAAACTTGAGGTTCTACCCAGGCAGCTCGTAGCAAGGTCAAGATGAAGTTCAGTGTTGAAACCAAACAAGCAGTTAGAGGGATCTGCTCCCAGTGCTAAGCAGGTGGTTAGGACTGAGCAGGGTGGGGAGAGAGGAGCGTGGGGTTTAACAAAGAATGGCGGCAGGGGCGGTGCTGGGTCACCCGGAGCCCGTGCCTCCCTCCCTCCTGCTAACAGCACAGTCCCAAGGGCAGCCTCACTGCAAAGCTCTCTCCCGTGGCAAAGATCAGCCACTGGTTTCACCACCTATTTCCACCTCAGCCCCTGCTGAGGCCTGACGCTAACCCCAGACAGAAGTCCAATGTCCCCCCTCTTGCCTCCAGTCCATCCTTCACCTTTTAGTTAAAACAAAAGTCATCCTGTGCTCATGAGTTGAAAACCCTGATCCAGCAACCGGCGCCTGCCTCCTCATGCCGGGGCTCGCTGCTCCCCTGTCCGTGTACTCTGGCCCTGTCCAAGCTTCTGTCTCCTGGGCTCCAGGGCTGGACACAAGTCCTTGGCCAGGGTGAGTCATCCCTGCCACCTCCCCACCCCCACACTTTGTCTGTGCCCTCTCCCCGGAGGCACGGGTCACATCACCTGCTGGCTGAACCATGGTCTCCCCACCGGACTAGGAGCTTCCAGAGGGTTCCAAAGGGCCTGCCCCCTGATGAGTCCCATCTAGCTGCTCATGGCCCACGGGTCTTCAAACACGTGCTGAAAGTCCAACACGGCCTCCTGCCCCCCACCCGAGGTCTCCCTCTCTGACTTCCAGCCCACTGGCGGCGGCTTCAGCTCAGCCAAGGGCACAGCTCCAAGGCTCCCAGCTTGTCCTCTCAGTGTCCTGGAATCCCTCGTCCAGAGGTCAGTCTGAGGGCTCCCCCACCAGCAAGGCCCCCGCCCAGGCAGCCAAACCTCTGGTCACTCCAGCCAACAAGGAACTTCCTGGAAGGCCTTAGATGACCAGCTGCGGTCAGTCACCCTCCTCACTCTCCTCTTCACCAGACCCTTAGGAAAGTTTGCTCCCCCAACCCTAACCTGAACCCTCCCTCCCGCCCTCCTTGCCCTGGGATCTATTCTCTAAACAATAGACAATGACCTCCCAATTCAGGGACTGGGCAAATGTGTTCCATAAAGGGCCAGAGAGAGCAAAGACTTTCAGCTTTGTGGACAAAGACGCCGTCTCTGTGGCGGCTGCGCAGCTGTCTAGGAAGTGAGAAAGCGACAGTAAACTCTAAGTAAACCAACGGGTGTGGCCATGCACCAGCGAGACTTTATTGATACAAACAAGCCATGGGCCAGATTTGGCCTGTGGGCCGTGGTTTGCGGACCCTTAAATTAGACCTGTAAAAAGTAGGTTCCGAGGGCCCTCCCCTCCCGGCTGCTCCAGCGGGGAGCTGCCACCTGTGATCCTCCAGGCCGGCCAAGGAGTGCCAGGCCAACCTTGCCGGGGATTCCCTTTGGCTAAGAGAACAGAAAGGGAAGGTGGAGTGGCAGGGCCATGCTGGGCACAGAAAGAAGTCAGGTTCAAGTGAACTCTCGGTGCCGGAGAGCGCACCTCAGGCTTCCGCTGCTGCGGGGTAGGAGACAAAAAAGAAAAGGGCCCTGATTCCCGGCTGCCCACACACCCCTCCTGGCTCGACCACGGGGCCCAGGATCTCAAGGAGTCAGGACAGAAGGGGCTACCCTGGTGGACTCGAGAAAACAGGCTGGCAGGAGCACAGTGCTCGTCCAGGTTTATGCCCCCAAGGACAGAGCCGGGCCTGAAGCCTTTGGGGGTGGCATCACTGGTCAGCTACCTTCACCAGTGGGGTAGCCCTCCCTGCCGCTGGCCAGGAGTCCAGAGAAAATGGGCCCCAGCTCCCCCTCAGGAAGAGATTCCCAGGCCATGGACATGTGAGCCGGGTCACTCCTGGTGCTGGGCCGTCCTGTGCAGGGTGGGGCACCGGGTAGCATCACTGGCTTTGCCAACTGGATGCCAGCAGCACCCCTCCCCTGTTGGGGCAACCCAAATGTCCCCAGATGTGCCAGCAGTGCCCTGGGGTAAGGACACGTGTGAAAATAAAGCGGGTGCCATGCGCCAGGTAAGTGAAAGAAAGAAGGGTGGCAGGGAGGGACGTCAAGGTCCAGAACTGTGGGAACCTCTGGTTACGTAAGGGTTTCAAGGTAACGGCAGGAATCCCCAGCCCCAGCAAGCAATCCACGCACGTGGTTTCCCTCATCTTAAGTGCTTGTGAGCAGAGACGTGAAACCACAGGCCTGGCTGCCCAGGACGCGGCAGAGATGGTGCAGAGTCCTGCGGCCACGCTCAGGGACGTGGGGTCCTGGACACTGTGGCCAGGGGAGGTGGGTCCCCACCAGCCCCTGGCCCCCCTCCAGCACATCCACACAGGGTGCTAGAGGGACAGTGGGGACGCAGCTGAAACCTAAGCGCAGAACTGCCGCTTTCCCACACACCCGCCCTTGGCCGGCCCCGGACCCCCCGCATCCCGCGTGGGCCCACAGCCAGAGAAGACAGAGAGGGGCCCGGCCATCTGCTGCCTGTGGCCTTGCTCCCTGGGCGTCGGAACGAGGCTTTGTGATTCATTCCACATCTGGCAGGCAGAAGTCCCCAGAGAGCCGGGGTCCGGGTGGAGTCACCCACAGGTCACCCTGCCTCACAAGAGGTCCTGGGGGGCTGGGGGAGCCTCTGGATCTCGGGGGTCTTAGCGCTCAGACTAGACAGACAAACAAGAGGTCATTCACAGGGTGACTTGAGTGATGTCAAGTCACCCTGAGTGTCCAACAGAGAACAGTTTGGGGGAGAGGCAATGGAACCAGGAGCTTAAGCATGAGCAGGTGGCCTGGGTCAGTCTGGGGGCAGGTGGGGCGCCCTGTGTGCCACCGGAAGGGGCTCATGCCAGGGAGCTATAGGGCTTTGGGACGGGGTGTTGCTAAGCACCGTGACTCAGCGCTGCAGAAGTTGACTAAAATAGACTTCGGCCACTCCCCTCAGCCTGCCCTGGGCTGGACACCCCCACCCCACCCCACCCCACCCCGGAAGCCACTTCCCACTCTCCTGGCAGAGCGAAGGAAATTGGAGCAGCAACTCAGCTCTCCCTGACCCTCCCAGCCTCTGGTGAAACCAGCTTCCTCTGCCCTTGGCCCCAGTGACCACTGAGCATTCCTTTGAGGCAGGAGAACTGCGGTGGGTTTACACTAACCACACCCTGGGCTCAGCTCTAGCCTGGCAGGATGGAGATGACCCTCCATTCTCGTCGCCCTTCCGAGCATGTGGCATGGACGGCATCACCCAAGGCAGCCCAGCAGTTCCCAGGCGCACAGGAGCTGAAACACACTCCGAATGCTGGACCGGACCTGGGCACAGGTCAGGCCTGAGTCCCCTGGGGCAGCCTGCAGGTTCCCACTTCGCAGCTGACCCCCAGCTGACCAGGACATGGCGAACGCATGCTTCAGCACCCACCACGGGGTGGGGCACCCACTCCACTGCTCTTCCCCTGGGGGTGCCAGCCAAGCATCCAGACCAGCCCAGGGAGGGCTTCTGGCCCATGGGCATCTGCCTGTGGCTTGGATTGTCTACAAGGGGCTTTGTTCCCTCTGCTCCTCCCTGCAGCCCCCTCTGCCCTCCACTCACTCACTCACTGCACACCCACCAATTTTCCCACACTCCCGGGCCCTGGAGACAGACCAGTGAAAATAACAGGGTGGACAAGTCCCTGCCTTCCCAGGCGCCTGGGAGAGAGAGTGAAGGGCAGGCAAGGGGCTGTAAACAGGCAGGTAAAACCCTCTCTCCTAGTCCCCGAGTCCGCCGGGCGACGCGAGCCAGTGTGGGAGTTACGGGGGCTGAAGAAGCTCCCGAGGAAAGGGCTCTGCCAGCTCCGAACTGCATGATGAGAGAAGGATCCAGCCCATCCAGAACATTCTAGCAGAGGGTGCAGCACATGCCAGGGC